TTTTTTTTAATATTTGCTTTTAAATTAAAAAATTGGGTATTATTTAGTACTAAAACTTGAATTATAATCTACAGTTTGATACCAAAGTTATTGACTTAAATTCATGAAATAGTAGTTCAATAAAATTTTGAATGCGAGTCAACAAATGCAGTGACATGGCCTTTGACCCGTTGTTGATAGAGTTAATTGCCCAATTAATCACATGATACACTGGTCTTGGTATCATCAATTTCGTATCTTACAATATCCCTTTCACCCGTGACCTGTCTCGAAAAGGTTAAGGTGTATTTCCTTCTCCTTTTGGCCTGTGAGCATCATCAGTTTGATTTATTTGTCATTGATGTTTCATGAACTCTGTACCATTCCATTTATGTTCTCCTTTATGTGGATCGAACTTTACCAAACATTTTTATGGCGAGGGAGGGTAATTCCTCCTTCTTGCTGATTTCCCTTCTTTCTATTTCCCACCTCTATTCCTAGTCTGATCTGGATAGACTTCTGTGTCATGTTCGTGCTCTTTATTGTTTTATTGCTCACATGGTTTCCTTCTGTAATAACTATTCCCACTTTTTCAGTCCATGGTAGCTAGCCTCTGTTCGTGATCTCTTTCCTTCCACCCTTACCAATTGGGTTTGGCTTTTAATATGATTGGCTCATTCTTCCTTGTCTCCTTCTTCCCATAACTTGTTCCTGGTGTCTTCCCATCAGGTTAGGCACCTTCCTTTTTCCCTGCCATCTCCTCTACATTGTCCTTTGGAGGAAATTCTTCAAGCAGGTATGTGGACCACTCCATGTTCTTTCATCACTAACTATCTGCATCGTGTTGATGTTTCTTCCTCATTGGTTTATCATCTTCCATCTGTTGCCATTCTTCAGACTTTGGTGCGATAGTAACTGGGTAGGTTTTCTTTCTTTTGTTATATATATATATTATTTTCAGGGGCCTGTCTCATGTTTTGACCACAATCCCACTCTGGTGTCTGTCCAGGTATACTTCACTCTCTTACTACTGTACAGTCAAAACTTGCACTGTAAGGCCATGTTGACTTAACAAATGCACACTGTTCATTACAATCGCATAAACTAGTAGTTGGGGGTGTACCACAAGATTGCTTGTAGGTTATTCCTTGCAATATATTTGCTTTTTCAATATGCCCGTTCCAGACCGTACTAACCCTTGGACTTCATGGATAAAGCAGAAGGGTATTGCTGCCTTCAAATCTACATTTGAAAATGTTACAATAAAAAATTAATTTTCTCTCACTTTGAACTTTTGAATTCCTGGATAACTTATTAACAGAACTTCCAGACTTGGTCTATAGTGAGTTCCTTGGGCTTGGCTATTCTTGTTCGTGTACCAGTTGCTGAACGATGACACCTAAGCCATTTGTATCCATAGTTGTCTGGTTTCCAGTTTTGAATCAGAGGGTCGTGAAGCTAATGAACATGAGATTTGTCACATGGTTGATTAACAGCCTAGATCTTGTTTTTGTAGTGATAAGGTTCATGCTCCTAAAGCCTCATTCGCATTCAGAAGAACTGCATGGGATGACATTTGAACACCCAGTTAAAGGATTCAAATCTGATGGAATATGGTGCCCACAGTTGTCTGAAAAGTCTTTGTATGCTGTGGTTGTTTTTGAAAATGGCAATCTGTAACATTTACAAGGGGACTCTACTTCCTTTTCTCCAAAGCCTGGATTTATCTCTGCTGGCCACTCATTGACTTCTAAGATACGGAGCTTAGAAATTATGTTTGGAATGGAATTAGAAGTGCCTGGCTGTGACCCAGTTGGTTCAATGGAACAAGTTAGTGTGAATAACCATTGTTTCATATTCTTTATGATGCTGGTTAAAAATTGACCATGATTGATTGAAAAAAAATCTTATTGTTATATATCAGTGTTATTAATGAAACTTCATTTCCTTAATGGCATTCTCTGCTTCTAATGCCTTTTTTGCCCTTATGTTCCTTCATTGCTTCTAAAAACCATATGCTGCCATGAATTAACCTTTCTGCATAACCTATATTAATATTCTTTTTCTGTAAGGCTACTAAAGTGCTTAACAAGAAAGCTAAGTTAGAAATATTAAATACACCAAAATGGGCCGTATTTTATATAACTGGAAACTAAGAATATATTGGTTACTGTGTAATTATGGTTAAATAGGAAACAAGATGCTCATAAGCTCTTATACACTTTTACACCTACACTGCTAAATCAAGTGAGGTAACTAACATTCAAATACCTAACAAGTTTACTGGATTGGATCAGACTGTATACATCCATATTGTAAATATTTTCTCTCACTTTTATATAGTACTTTAGACGATGCTTGTTGCAATTACTGTACTACAAACAAGCTGATAAACTCTTCCTAACCAGGAAACGTCTAATGCCTAGCTTGGCGATTCATTGCTTTGTTTTGAGATGTTTCTACTTCAGCTGCTAACAGTAAAATAAACGTAGGAAATGGTTGTGAAAAGATTGGGAGTAGAAATTCTCAGGAGATTTACTTTGGAATTTCGTGGTCCATACTCAAAAGTCCTGACAGTACTATTCATTTTGTTTCGTCAAGTTTCTAAGTCAGTTGCTAACAATATAATAACTACAGAAAATAAGTGTGAAAAGGTGAGAAGTATAAGCTCTGACCATAAATTATTTGGAACTTTGTAATCAATACTAACAGAACTACACATTTTATTTTGCATTTTGTAATGTTTTCTTTCATTATACTTTGATAACTTGCCTACAACCTGTATGAAAGGGTTAATGATTCTTTCTTCTAGAGGTGAGCAATACTTCACAAAGTTTAAAATTTGTAAGGTCAGATTCGCTAGAAATAGTGAAGTAATGGTATTCTGGCAAAACAAAAAGTAAGGGAATGTCGTTCCCACACAACTACACCACTGGTTCCAGTCTGTTTGACTTGAATGGGACATAGCACATTACAGGTACATCTTTCTTACTCCTATTCATCTGGAGGTCGGGTTCCCGGTTTGATATACATAGATGTATATGATATATCACTCTGCTCACATGTGCTCTGTTCACAGATCGGTGGTGAAATTATTGAAACTGTTATATGTTGTGGTTCGGATCACTGTCCAACTTGTGTTCACTCCCATCGGGATGTGCTCCTCACAATTTTACACCCAGATTTGCCACACTTTTTCCACATCTGGGCAAAGAGGATACCTGGTACAGAAACAGTACAGTCTCCCATGTATAATCCTCTTCTTAGAGGGTTCCCTCATTTGTGTGTCCTTTGGAAGCTTCTAAATTCTCCCTCACACCTGTCCTTCAACCTATTCAAAGTGGGATTCTAGCTATGTATGTGAGCAGAAGTAAGGTACCTTGTTGGAAGTTATAATATTCTCATACTGAAAATATATTTCTGACAGGTACCTACTTCCTCCCCTTCCCACCCTCCTCATTATCAACCGATGCTTCAGTTTCTGCCTAAACTAGAAGTGATAATTAGGTATAATAGCATAGAGGGAGTCACATGAGTCATGTGGGTGTGTAGCGCTTCTATAGTAGAGGCTTGTCACATGATAGTTTGCATGTGAGAATCAGTTAAAGCATGTGAATTGAGGTGTGCATGGAAATGAAAGGCTTGTGGCATGCAAAAAAGTTTTGCAAATAAGGGCATCACTGAACAAGAATAGCTATGTATATGAGCAGAAGTAAGTACCTATCGGAAATACATTTTCAGTATAGGAAAATTATAACTTTGAGTATAAAATAAAAAAAACACACACACATATATATATATACCTGTGTTTTTTACTTTTCAAAATAATGTTAACAAAGTGTAAACATACCTGGTTGTTCTGCTGTAGGTTCTAAAGATTTTACCAGAACTACATCACAAGTGAATGTAAGTTACATGGTTATTGTTTTATTTTATTTAAGGTTTAAGGAAGGTACTTAAATTTTGTGACTGGAATTTCATTTACATTGTAATGAATTTCAGTGAAAACAGATATATAAGTTAACTAATTGTCTATGACAGAAGTTGATTCATTAAATAATTTATTTTGGGGATCTAGAGCATTCTTATTTAAGTTTACTATGTTTGTCCTTGTTATATATATTTATCTGTTTTGAAAGCATGTGTTTAACATCCATATACCCAGTATATGTGTAGTCAAGAGTCTCTGATAATATCTTTTAAAGTAAGAAACGTTTGTAAATAATATTTAAAAATAATTTGTATTTCTTATAACATGTTAGTTTTTTGGTAAAATTATCAGATCATACTATTAATATGATTTATTAATACATAAATATTACTTTGATGAATTTTTTTTAAATTGAGTGGGGGTGCCATATGGAACTCTTAATACATTATTATACCACTTACTTCATTAATTAGATGTACAATCTTCTTGGGGATAAACTTTACAAATGTCTTGTATAAAGGCATCAAAAAGTTTGGAACATTTTTTTTCATTTTTTTGGTAAACCCCAAAAAGCCATTCCCCAATTTTTCTAATACACCCCTTAAAATAAACCCTTTTCAGAATCTTTTTTATCCAGGCAATTCTACAATTTTTGGGTGGGGGTGCCATATGGAACTCTTTCCTATAAATGTACCATGCATTTCACATCTTCTTGTAATATTACAGAATTGATTCTGTATGTGTACATGATCCATATGACACATGGTGAAGAAAACCATTAAGATTATCTCATTCTAATTGTTTTTGTTCCTTTGTCACTCTCAAGCACATGATGCCTGGGAAGATATTATGATAATACTACACATTGTGCAATGATGTCGAGAACAGTGTCCTCCAATGGTAGGTCAGGTGATGTCTCATGTAACAACCTCCCTTATGTTTCACTTGGTTTGACTAAACTAACAGTAACATAGGTATCTCACGCATACTAAAAATATTGTGTTTTAGATGTTTTGGTATGTAATACTATGATCCCTTAGTTAGCTTTCATTCTCTCTCTCTCTTCCAAGCTCAAGTTCTCAGTTTGGTAGGTGAAATTTAAAGTCCTTCTTTTGTAAATAGTAATATCTCCTAAAGTTTAACCTGTAACATTAATTAACTCTTATTATTCGATGACGAGGAACCCACTTTGAGACTAATAATGGCTTGAATGGGTAATGAAGAAAAACTTTAATATAACTTTAACATAACAGCAAACGTACAACGTTTCGACAAGATTTTTTCATCATCAGGTATAAAATCTAATAGAAAAGCTCAGAATAATCTGTATACCATTGCTTGTTTCTTCATTTTGATTTTTCTTTTTATCTCGTTTATGTTGTAACTGTAACTTCTTCTGTTTTCCACTGAATGGGATTTTCTTTCTGCCTTGAGGCATTTACGTAGACTTGAGCTTTAATATCTTCGGCAATATGAAATTCTGTTAAAAACAAAAAGCTTTCACACTCATACCATAGTTCTTGATTTTCAACAACATAACAAACTACAGTCCCAATTGTTTCTAGATTAAAAAACAAACACACAGGTAACCGTCTACACAGTCTGATATTAGAATAAATTATAAAAGGAAACAAAGACGCTACATCACGTTGTAACTTGCTGACCAAATCTAAAGGCTAAATTAATTGCCTAATTAATTAATTAATTACTAATTAATTCTAGAACATTTAGAAGAAAATTTCGAAAATTTCTGTTGCATTTTTTCCTACCACGAACTTGTAGTGAACTTGCACGCACACACACACAATATTCTAAACTAAGACTAGTTACAAAGTTTACAAGCTTATTTTGATGGCCTAAAATGGTCTACTACATTCTTCTTAAAACTATCTGTTTCACACTAATGCAGTGATTGAACTTAAAACTTTATCAGTATTCCTCTTTCTCTAGCATCTGATGCTTACCTCTGTAATAGTCAGTAAAACATAGTTAGAACTATAATTGACATCTTAGTGGAGAAAGTAATACTGCAAATCCAAGCAATTAAGATGTTGAGTAACCTGAACAACTAAGAACTTTCTTGATCAGGTAAATTAACTTTACCAAACAAGAGCTAGTAGACTGAGACCCTCAACTTCACCAAGCAATTTTGTAGGAAAAAACAATATAACCAATCAGTTCAAACTAATTTTAACTTCAGGACAAGCAAAACACTAAAAAAGTATTCCTATCAGGGGCATCACATCTCAAGTAATGTTTTTTCTCTTAGCCTTGTACCCCTTCCTTTAAAAATGTAGAAAATGCCAATACTTCTAGGCCTATGACTTAGACCAATCAAATACTGTATCATATAAATTATGCGAATATCTTTTAAGTTATAACATATGATATAAAAGTAATTATGTTTAATGAATATTTCCTCAACACTATAATAAAGAAATGGGTAATATATCAATAATGACAGATAAATTTTGTTAATAAGACAAGCAATCGAACAAATGGGATTGTCTTTTTTTTTGTTGTTGTTGTTAAATGATAATAGTCAACTAATCTTGTTAGTCAGTCATATGCTAAATTACTATTATACAGCACTACACTACTCCCACTTACCTAATATTTAGTAATAAGACTAACTTTAACTTTTAAGTATTAGTGTTATGATTAGTGTAACCAAGCATTTTTAACTTTCAAGTTTAATTCTTGTCATTTGTAAGAAAATGGATTTTGGGTAGCCCCAAGAATAATTTGGTATTGATAATCCTAGTATTACTACTAATACTATTTTGTATTACATTCTACGCAATAGGATAAGTGGTAGTCTAACAGTAATGCCATACTGTAGCTTCCATAAGTGTAACTTACATCCCATACTATAACAAGTACTGAGTAGTAGCACTATCACTTATAGTTATACTAGCAATACTACGTAGTTTTACTATTACTAATAAAAAATTAATAGTAATAGAGCGCAAAGCAAGATTAACTAGTCAAAAGTTTCTATGTGGTATACCACAATACTTTACAACTCTTTAAAGTTTAAAAGTTTCTCCAATTTTGTGAATGCAAGTTCCAACACAAAGTGAATTCCGAGAACTAATAATAACATACTCGAATAGATATATATTTTGCATTGATGGTAAAAAAAAAAAACACGTTAGGCCTACTGTTTATAATAACATCACTGCTAAAATTTTAATTGTGTTTATAGCACTTTTTTTCTGTTAACAATGTTGTTAATCTCTTAATAATAGCTCTAAGTTACTTGTTCCTAAAAAAGGCTAATATACAACTTACAACCCACCACGCATGTGCACTTACAAACTAAAATGTGTTTTTTTTCTGTTGACTGCAGTATGGGTTTTTGACCTTTCACTATCTAAGGTTTGTATTAAGCATCTTGTATAAAAAGCATGAAATTAGTTTTTATTTATTTTTAACAAAACCATGGACGCAATAGTTATTTATTATTTTGTATTTTCAACAAAATCGACACCTTGTGGGACACATATGGGTTAAACGAACAGATCCGAAAACCCAAGGTTCATCCATAGCCATTCCTAATTTAGAACTGTTGATCAGAGAAACACCAGCCAGATAGTAGCACCTGACGCCGACAAAGATATTCTTAACCAAATATCGCAAATGACTTTCACGGTCATAACGGCTCTACATCTAAAATTGCAGACAGTGTTTAGTGGCATATCATGAATCGATCCCTGGACCTTCCGATACCAAACCTTGAATATTAATTAATAGATCTCCCCTGGCCACCTACTAAAGCAATTGAACACTTTAGAACGTTTTCAACACTCCCAGCATCTTATACTTACTTATTTAAGGGTAAATGTTCGCCCCCTCCCAACCCACCAAAAAAAGAAAAGAAAGAAAGATGCACGATACTACACATATAAAAACATTTTCTAATCCATAAACGTGGATTGACGACACCAAAATGCTGGACAAAGCGCAAACAGCCCTTGATGTAGCTTTGCGCTAAAACAGAAGATATAAAATTATGTTTTAAATTACATAGTAATTTATTATGTAAATCAAGTACTAATGTGAATTTTTTTGAGGATGGCACCATTCCTTCCAAATTGATATTTTTGTTAACAGGTGTTATTACAGCAAAACGTAAAATGCAAAACTGGAAGTTTGTATGGACCTAATGAGCCTCTAAAAGCAATTTTGGTGAAGATCCATCCATACACTGCGAAGTAGTTACATGGACATACAACAGACAGTACTATTATATATATTCTATTTAGAGAATATAAACAAGATAAAACAAGTTAAAGCTTTGTGATATTTTTGTTAACAGGTGTTATTATATTTTTGGAAAATAATCTACCAAAGGGCAAAGCAGAACAACATAACTACATCATACGAAAACAACTAACAAACAAATACAAATTTGACTACTAGATGGCGAAAATAATAAAAAAGTTAATGCACTTCTTGTTTCTCTGTTTGTAATTAAGCATAAAGCTACACACTATAACAAAACACACATTATTGAAAAATGGTCCTCCAATGGCTCAGCGATAAGCATGTGAGGACTTTTAATAACAAAACCGGAGTTCAGTTCCTGTCGGGGGTGGGGGGACGTGGGCATTTCAATGTGCAGCTTTACGCTTAGGTTAGCAAAATATTGGTAATTCACGGGTGTAGTCAAAAACATATAAAAGGGTGCTATTTTTGAAGGAAAAACGGAATGAGTGTCAAAGCCATGCTGGGGTATAAGGAGGCATGCTTCCTCCGAAAATGGTATCTGAGGCTGTTTTTACACCTTTTAAAAATGTTTTGTGCATATATGGATTCAAATTAGGAAGTGCAATCACACCCACATCACTTTCTTCCAACGCACGTGCACCTATATGAAGATCAATGGCCCCCCAGTATTATAATTTTTTTTCAAGGCTATATGTTCATTACAGAATTTAATAATATGTTTATTTCACTTTGACCAAACTTAAGAAAACCTCCAGTATTTAAATATAAGAAAAATAGTATTCTCAAAAAAAAATTCAGATTACCAGCAAAAAAACAACAAACAACAAAACCAAACAAATAGTTTTAGAAATGCACAATAACTTATTAAGCAATTAATTTTATTTGACATATCTTAAAAGCTTCAAGTATGAAATCATTATCACCGTAAGAAGGATCATTTTGGGAAACAAGGAATAATAAGACAGAGTTTATTCTTCAACTAGCTGGAGTACCCGTCCCCTGGACGAAAGTTTTGTAAATTCGTGATTAATGAAAGGTTATCATAGGACATAAAAAATTGCTTCCCTTATATGCAATTGTACAAAAACTCCCATAAAAATTGCAAAACAAAAAATGTCAAGGCACAAGTTTGCACGCATCTCCGCATTGACCCAACAAACCTTCATGACAAATTTGGTGAAGATCCATCAACAGGGGGCGAAGTACTGGTAAAAAAAAAAGAGGCAAAAACACCCATAAAAACAGCAAAACGTAAAATGCAAAACTGGAAGTTTGTATGTACCCCCGCATGGACCTAATGAGCCTCTATAGCAATTTTGGTGAAGATCCATCCATACTCTGCGAAGTAGTTACATGGCCATACAACAGACAGTACTATTATATAGATTCTATTTAGAGAATATAAACAAGATAAAACAAGTTAAAGCTTTGGAGAAAACGCACTTATTACTCCTGTAGTAACATTTACTGATCTTAAATGATATTTATTGAACATGGGGGGGGGGGGTCATTTCTATTCATGGTATTTCTTTCTTTGTTAAAACAGTATTCTTATCGTTTCTTAAAGCACATAGTGATTTATATTCTATTGCCTGGTATCTGCTACTTTTTATGATTGTAGAGAAACACGAAGGGCCACTTTTAATATTGATAATCAACCAAATAAAGTTTTTAGCGCATTTTTAATCGGAATGTTTACTTTTTAAGGATATTAACCACTAATTACTAAATTGAAGCTACACGATGGCCATCTGCGCTAGCCGTCCCTAATTTCGCAGTGTAAGGGTAAGGCAGATAGTCATCACCACTCACCGCCAACTCTTGGGATACTCTTTTACCAACGAATAGTGGTATTGACCGTCACATTATAACTCCCCCAGCGGAAAGGGCGAGCATGTTTGGTGGGACGAGGATTCGAACCCGCGACTCTCAGATTACGAGTCGAGCGCCCTAACCACCTAGCCATGCCAGGCCGTAAAGTAAGTATTAGCTATGGAACAAGATCTAACAACTAAATAAATAAATTCCATACTTTGAGAAATCTTCAACATGACTAATACATCTTTCCAACTTTGATTCAGCTTTGGGCATCTACCTTTTCGTCAGGATATAAACCTCGTTACATTCTACCTCGTTAGAACTCTGACTTTTCAATTTCAAAATCACATTGCTTTTTCATCTTGTTTCTGTCTGACTTCAATTTCTCTCACACAAACTCGTGGATGGTATTGATTGTGTCCCAAAGATGAATGGTATATTCTGTAAAAAAACATTTCGCGCTCATCATCATCGCTATGGCGACCAGAGTGTATCCATTAGCGCCATCAGTTTCTTAAATAAATGACCCATAACTTCAATCTTTGTGGTTTTATATCTCATCATAAAGTGGACAGGTCTTGTTATCAGGTTTCTTGTCTCTAATGGTTAGCTCGCCGATCATTACGTGGTCGTGTTGTTTCATCTTTCCGTCTGAAGGAAGATGGAAACCCGTTGTCTCGGTTTTCTTGGTTTTACTATTTCATTTTGGCAATGGATCAAATATTATAACACGATGTTCTACGAAACCCTACTGATATTTCAATATATTATTTGCTTTATTGCTATCTTTATTTTTACAACATAGATTGTAGTTTTGGTTGTTTGTTGTTAAGCGTAAAAGCTACACAGAGGGTTATCTGTGCTTTTCTCACCGTGAGTATTGAAGTCCGATTTTTAGTGTAATAAGCTCTCAAATATTCCGCTGAGCTATCGGTGGGGAAATAGATTGTAGAGTTGACATCATTGTCCAATATCAGCACATCCAGTTTATAGGAATCTTTCTTCCTAGCTTTACTAATGTCAAGGTTACTAGCTGTAGAAAGAATGTGAAGCTTACGCACTGCTTTGAACGATCTGTATGTTAGTAATTGTATTTCAATTTCAACGGCATCTCAGGACACCTGGTTTAAATATCCAGACCAGAGACCCCTAAGGTCTAAACATAGCCATCCCTAACTCAAAATTATTGACCAGAGGGCGGGCAAACTGTTATCATGACTTGTCCCCTAAACGGTTATCCTTAACCTAATTGCGAGATTGCATGTCATTTTCATAACGCTCCCGTATTTTTAAGTGTGGAATGTGTTCATTGGAATATCGCCCGCTCGAACCTTGGACCTAGAGATCTGCAGCCAAGCACACTAATCATTAGTCTATGTTCGACCCTGTATTGTAGTAACAACTGAAAAAGATATATGTGTTTTCCCATTTATTTAGACTGTGGATGATAAAGAGATCTATCTGCCAAGGTGATTTCTTGCTTCAGGATTTATCTACTCTAACATTAGTCTACAATTTTGGTATCTTTAGCCTGCATGATAC